AGTAACGTCACCGTCCGAAAAGATAAAGAATCCGTGGGAAGTCGTTCGACAATCCGATCTCGATAATAGATTAGACAAGAAGGATGGAAAAATTCCTAGGAAGAAGGATCAAAAGATGTGTCGACATGGCGAAAAGGGAATGTGCGATTACTGCATGCCATTGGAGCCATTCAATGCAGAGTACCTGGCCGAAAGAAAAATCAAGAATCTATCATTCCACTCGTACTTGCGAAAGATCAACTCGGCGACCAATAAGCCAGAGCTAGGGAGCTCTTTCATGCCACCATTGACGGAGCCATACTACCGTGTGAAGAAGAACTGCCCATCAGGACATCCTCAGTGGCCAGAAGGTATCTGTACAAAGTGCCAACCTAGCGCAATCACTTTGCAACCACAGGCATTCCGTATGGTGGATCATGTTGAATTTGCGCAGGCAAGCTTGATCGAAAACCTACTCAACTTCTGGAGATCTACAGGCGCACAACGGTTGGGATATCTATACGGTCGCTACGAGGAGTATACGGAGGTACCGTTAGGGGTTAAGGCTGTTGTGGAGGCCATCTACGAACCCCCACAGGTCGACGAACTCGATGGCATTACATTGAACGAATGGGAATCTGAAAAAGATATTGACGAGATAGCGAGATTATGCGGCATGGAAAGAGTTGGTGTCATCTGGACTGATCTAATCGACGCAGGCGCATCGGATGGCAGTGTCATTTGCAAGAGACATATTGATTCATATTATTTATCATCACTAGAAATCGCATTTGCGGCGCGTTTACAAGCAAAGCACCCCAAGCCGACAAAATGGAGTGATACCGGCAAGTTTGGTTCGAATTTTGTTACCTGTGTGATAACAGCAGATGAGAACGGGGGAATTGCCATATCTGCCTATCAAGTCTCAAACTCGGCCGTGGAAATGGTTCGAGCAGATATTGTCGAACCCTCCGCCGACCCAGCTGTGATGATCGTTCGCAGTGAAGGGGATGACGATTCTGACACGAGCGCACGATATATTCCGGAAGTTTTCTTCCGAAAGATCAACGAGTATGGTAGAAGCGTTCAAGAAAATGCTAAGCCATCTTTCCCAGTTGAATACTTACTCGTCACATTAACCCATGGATTTCCTAGCGACCCCAAACCAGCATTCATGGCTAAGAATTCTTTCACAGTCGAGAATCGTTTGGTTATTGGCCAGGAACAAGATATCAAGGACGTTGGCAAGCAATTGGGGCTTGATAAAATGGGACAGCTCACCCAATCTAGCGATGGCGTCCTCGCTGTATCCGACTTCCATCTCCTTTGCTTCATATATAGTATGGGCATTTTAAGCAAAGTCCGTACTTATATTTCCTTCTTCCACACCCATGAGCTCATTGCTAATATATTTATTTGTAGGAGGAAATGGCACTTCTCTGTCGCGTGGCCACACAGCACGATTTAGCAGATGGGTTTCAATTGATAGCAACGCCTGGATGGGCAACTTTCCTTGCAATTTTGCAATCGTCTGGTGAGCGACCCCCAAAACGTCAGTCGCCATTCGATGATGATGGCCCTACAGAGCGTCTTGCTAAAAGAGTTAGAGGGGTAAGGCTAGATTGAGTAAATAGTCAGCTGCCAGACTATTTTATTCTTTTGTGGCTTATGCTCCGATTGTGTTAGGTTCCTGATCGCCAAAAAATCGATTATTACCCCGGTGTCGTTGAAAACGCGAGTGTATGGGACAGGACGGGAGGTTGGGGAATCGATGGAGAACTCCACCGTATGAAATCATTGGGGCCTGTGAATGGGATCCCAAATTAGGCATAGAATACGGGATGATGGGGAATTTTTGGTGCTTGATGAATAGAGCGGTGGCTCTGGTGTTAACACAGGGATGCACAAACGGCACAGGATCCTCCAAAATGAGGGGAGGCAAAATATCACACCTATTCGCCTGGAGATATATGACAGATTTTCGTTTTCCTCGAGAACGTCAAAAGTATATCAATGTTCTCCTCCTCTTTGCCCTTTTTCGGCCCCCCCCCCCCCGCTTTCCTTTTCGTCCAAACATGAAACCGTTGGGATATTTCTTTTATTATCAAAACCGGACTTAAATTGTCGGCGTATATGTCAAAATTGATCATCGTAGTACTCAGAAATCCTGTAAATGCTCACTCGCTTATTTGGATATAAGGGTGTGTGTCATGGCGATTATCATAAGTTACAGTTGGCTGGCTGATATTCGTTCAACCTAGTGATATATGATCCTAAGTGTTCAACTTGGAATATGTATTTTGATATTGCCGTTGAAGTCACTGGCTTATTTTATTGTTATTGTTATTGCTGTGTTCAGTGGTTTGAGTGGGAGTACAGTAGGCGGCAGCGTGCTCACCTGTATGATTTCATCATTTAAACATATTCCAGTGCCTGGTGTGAGAATAGACAGACTGGTTTTAGACAGTATATCTAGGTGAAGAGTGAGGGTTAGGATGATAATGGTTTAAGTTGGTAACAGTGCTGATATCTTTTGGGAGGGGAGGATACAATTTGCCATTGTTGTTTTCAAGGAGATACTTTAGGGTACAATAGATGATATCAATCATGATCTTTTCGGATGATAAAGATCGAGCACTTGTTGTAACGTTGGGCTTTGGAAATGGTGGCTCTACTTGTAATTTCCCCAAATATATATATACCAATAGTACGGTGGTTATACTCGTAGACCTGATACTACCGAACGATAGGGATGGACGATCCAATCCTGTATTTCGAATCAACCTTTGTGATTTCTAAGTTTCAATGGTGCTTCTTCTAAGGAGCATTGCATTGCCTGGACACCGCTTGCCCTTAGCTTCTGAGGTTGGGCAGGGAAGGTAGGATCGACATCATCAAGCAAGCAGTAGAAAACAAGAACGATAGGGACAGCCCTCAGAATTTTCCTATGGCTTTCAAAATTGCTTACCGTTCTAGTTCATACCCATCATCATTGTAATAATCACCATAATTATCTTGGTAGCCGCTCGTTTTCCCATTTATTCCTCAACATCAATAACCTTGAAATATCTCCACAAGTCACTGGTCTTTCTTCTACCAGAAAAAGGTATATGACAACTATTAGCCTCCAACTCTACCTACCTGTCACGACACTCATCCCTAGAAGACGAATTCAGGATCGATGCCTAGCCTTGAAACAGCTTCCTCGCCATCAAGTGGAGCGGAAAGTCCCCCTCCATGTTGTGGAACTTCTTCTGGGAGCTCTAGTCCTGAGATCAATACATCAAATTCTCCACTCCTATCTGCTCCTTTCGTTAGATCTTTCAAGGGTCGTGCTGTACCACCCACGCTAGTTGGCATCTCAGAGGAGGCGATGATTCAAAGATTTGTTAAAATGACACCAACTATGAAGGTGATGAGCAAGGGCAAAGACGTGGAAGTTACGACCTTCACCCACTATGAAGCTTGCCCTGAATTGGTTGATACTTCGATTCCAACGAAAGAAGTAGAAATTGGTACCTATTTCCCTTCAAGATCTTCGTGTTTCAGCTAGCTAACATGCTCTTCTTTAGATACTGCTCAAACTGATAAATCGACTATAATCAAGCGCTCTCCCAGTTTAGCATCGTTTCCGACCACACAAGGACAAAAGCCGAATGCCAAGGCGTATAAACCATGCAAATCTTTGGGGCATAAAGAGGGACGCAAGTTGAAGCAGATGATCGAAAAAGAGAATGATGGCATCTTTGAGGACACAGCGGTCGAGTCAGAAATTGGTGGCGAAGCTTACGCGGAATTCAATACGGCACCATCATCACCAGTGAGATGTCTATCGGTGGCTGGCAGACGCGATCTGGATGGTCCATATGATGATAGGCCTAAATTCCCTTCTGGCGCAACTATTCAAGACTTTGGTGTGTTGCCCGATCATCTTCGAGGACCTTGTTTCGAAGTGAGTCCGCGAACTAGTGTTTTGGATGGTCCACATGCCATCCCAAACATGGACAAATTTTTGGCTATGAACAAGGACGATGTCTCTGTGGGACCCTCACTCGTGAGACCCCTTGAATCAGTGCAAGAATCATCATCAGAATCGTCGTCTAAAGTAGCGGGAAACTGTGCGGGAAATTGTATGGGACAATCAGACGGGGCCGCTCCTGCTCGAGCCATGTTACCAGACGTTGGTGGCGACTCTCCAGTTCCGGACCTACCCACCAAACCACTCGAAAAGGAAAAAAAGAGCGGAAAGCGTACACATAATGCTATAAATAAGTTTCGATCGGGCGTACGAAAAAGCAGATCTCGTTGTTTAAGAACACCAGTACTTGTGGTGCTGGTAGGAAAGGAGCTTTCAAAGCCAACCAGAACGGCCATTGAGAATATTGCCAGCGGACTTCCTTCAGGGATTGGTGATGTAAAGCCCCTTCCTGCATAACAGCGCAAGATGTCTCTGCGTTTGAGAGCTAAATTTGTCAAGTTGGAACTCTCTCGCGCGTCTCCGGCTCCACGCCCGCAACTTGAACGACTTACGCCTATGCCTGTCTCAGAGGTCAATTGTTGTCATGATTTGGAAGGTTAAGCGTAAGAGCCTGGCAATACTCGAGTTGGTTTGCATGGAATGATGACCTGTTGGAATGGATAGATAGCATTGTAGACCCTAATACAAAGAATGTGTGAAATTGGGACAATAACGTGAACCTAGCTGATGATTTGTGAAAATACTCGACAGCGACAGCGACAGCGACAGTGACATGCAAAAGTAAGTGTAGGTTAAGAGACTCGATGAGGTTTCAATCCAATACTTGTTCATATATATCTGTAACCTTACCCCACCAATCCTCATCCTTCCCCATCCTTCCTTATCCCTCCTACTCCACTCGACCCCTGCAAAAAGGCCACACGCACGCGGAAACCCTCGATATATAATTAAAATTCCACGCTTCGTCAAACAAACATGCCAAACTCCAGTGACGCGTAAGTTACTGCCTCCATTCACAAATGAAGGTTCCTCCAGGCTAATATTCACCATGTGCAGAGTGGTTAGCGTGTCGTTCTTATACCGTTCCCCTTGTGGACCGATATGAAGTTATGCGAAAGTCGTGGGTTCGACACCCACCTGGAGTATCAACTCCAGTTGACACCGGGACGTTGTCTCTTTACCTTTTGCTCATCTTGTTCTTGGCCAACTTTTGGAACTTCTGGTGATCCTTTTTGACATGTTTCACTGCGAGGATTTAGGACCGTTGAAGTGGTCAGAAATACCGTGAAACGTGTGAATCCTCTTTCTACATACGAACGAACAGCTTTGCGCAAATGCAGTCGGTAAGTTTCACCTCAAGTCGCCCGAAACAATTCAACCAGAGTTTATTGGCATCACTCTGGCCCCCCGCACATAGATCCCCATCTCCTATCTATTAACTCCATGGCTTAATGGCATGCCCCCTCCTTCACAGCCGAAGTATCCTTTCCAAAAATCAAGAACCCTACAAATGCACCCACGCCTACTGCAATCATAACCCATCCATTATATGTCATGAAAAGTAACCTATGGATTTATGAGTAGACGCACATACAGAGGCTAGAGGCCATAGACTTACATCAACATAAACGCATAGAAATACTGAAAGGCATACAGCGCAGCCTTGATAACATGTGCTCTCTGGCCCACTTCGTTTTGATTGCGTCCTGCCCAGAGAAAAGGCGTGTTTTCAGTATCATCCACTTAGTTTGCGCATTGAGTCTCAGCTTTTCATTCCACGGCTCAGGCATGAGAGTCGAGGGGGGTGGGGGGTGTAAAATGTAAGTAAGAGCACTTACGTGTTATCGGGCCTTGTTGTTTTGCGACCCAGGTTTCATAGCGACGAGTGAGCGAACGGATAGCTTCGTAGCCGGCCGTGATGGCGATGACGCCGAGGAGGGAGATGATGAGGGAGAAGGTTGAGCGGATGTGCCACCAGCGATAGATGATGCAGAGGTTGGTTGTGTCCCAGGTGAAGAGCATCTGCGAGCCGAAGGTTAGTTAGAGGTTGAAGAGTAAGATAAGAGGAGGATGGAAGGGAATGGGAGACGGACGTTCATGTTGCATCTATCTCCTCCCATGCCCATCCCCGTACTGTGGTGCATGCTGTGATCCATATGCGAATGATCCATTGCGAAGTTGAGTGTTATGCTGTTGTTGTTGTTATGTGAAGAAGTTCTTGAATAAGGATTCGGATATATAAGAAGGGATCAAGATAAATACATCTACGACAATATGATATCAATCACTGCGAGAACCGCATTGATTATTAATAATAATCAATTGCACCAATGACCGAAAGTTACAAGTCGATGGATTGGTCCTATCTTACCTTCTCAAATGCGCGCAGATAAAGCTGAAACATTAAATCACAGAAACGTAACGTTATATCTGCTGTCTGTGGCCGCCTTTATTCTGCCGCAGTCGGTTTTATCCATTTGAAGCTCTTCCGTTATATATACAAAGCAGGCGTTAGTCTTGATTAGAGTAATTTAAACGAGTTTTAGTCGATTTAGGCCATTTTATTTACAACTAACCTCATTTCCACGCGAGCTATGTCTTGAGTTTACGAAGCTCAGTTCTTTATCCGACATTATTATTGAGGGGTTGGCGGAAGAAAAAGAAAGCCGGCTAGCTTAGCATAACACTAGCCGTAACCTGATTGATAGCTTTTATGACGCAAGTGCTATATAAGAGCTATATATATCCTTATATAACCACAATTTAACCACTTTATAGATATATATACTTTTGCATTACTCGCTTCCTTGGCTTATTAACAATATTAGCAAAAGTGGAATTAGGCCTTTGGTAGATATTCCTATCTATCTACACCAAAATAATCTTCCGGAATGCTCACCAGTCCTTTAAACCTGCCCAAGTGGTAAGAGGCTATGGCTCCCATCGCAGGCGTCCATTCTAACGATCCTGCAGGCTGGAAGAAAACTCTCATCTCTTGAAGCCTCCCGTTAATAATTACTGCGTTTACAACAAAGATGTGACGGTTATGGTAGGATCTTCTTCGCCCATCACCACGCCAAAATCATTTCTAAGCTTCTACAGATCGTGGGAGGCCCAAATGCACGAACCGATTATCACATCAACGAAACCGCAGAATGGTTTTATCAATACAAGGGAGCTATGATTCTAAAGGTGGTGGATGAAGGCGAATTCAAGGATGTAGTTATTGGCGAAGGTGACATGTTCCTATTGCCACCCAATACTCCGCACAACCCCGTCCGATTTGCAAACACGGTGGGCATTGTCCTGGAGCAACCAAGGCCAGAAGGTTCTTTAGACAGGTTGAGATGGTATTGTACCAGCTGTCGTGAGGTGGTATATGAAGCCGCTTTCCATTGCACGGATTTAGGCACGCAGATCAAGGACGCTGTAAATAGCTTCAAGGATAGTGAGGAGAGAAGGAAATGCAAGAAGTGTGGGGCGCTTGCTGAATCTGCACCTCCCGCTGGATCTATCAAGGATCCAAATCTTTCTTGATCAATGAGGAATGGAATCTTTTGAATGCAGCCCACACTCACACTCCTCGTGCGTATTGTCGTGTATCCTGATGTGAATTATATACCCAATTTCCTCAAGTCTCCCTGAATTCATATGTACTTGTCGATTCCTCGACTACAACTTCGATCTTTCCTTCCTCCAACTCCTTACCCCCAACGGTGATGCCGGCCCTCATGACATCTCCAGGCTTCACAGGCCCAACACCCTTTGGTGTACCAGTTAAGACAATATCTCCTTTTTCTAAAGTCATGACCTTCGAGATATCACTCAATATTCTAGGGATTCGGAACAGCATTAATTCTGTAGAGTCCTTTTGCCTGAGCTCATTGTTGACCGTGAGCCACACGGTGGCATTGTGAGGATCTGGAATTTGAGACTTGGAAATGATGTTACTCATTGGTAGGAAGGTATCGAATCCCTTTGCAATATCCCACGGTAGCCCCTTCTTCTTTGCTTCGTTTTGGGCGTTACGAGCGGTCATATCAATGCTCATTGCATAGCCTATGCCATTCGATCGTTAGAAATAGAATCGGGTCATCCGGTCGGGGATACGCACTTTCGATGGAATCATAAGCTTCCCTTTCGTTCTCTGCCTCGAGGTTTTTGACCTGCTTCCCCATGATCAAAGCCAGTTCCACTTCATAATGTAAATCTACACCCTTTGGTCGAATGACGGCTCCGGCATTGGGAGGTAGAATTGAAGAGGTTGGTTTGAGGAAAAAGAACGGTTGTTTGGGCTTGGAGTTGTTCAACTCTGCGACATGATCTCTGTTCTCAATTAGTCAAGCATCTAGATACTTTGCAGATGGTCAATTGAAGAACATGGGGTAAACATACGCGTAGTTCCTCCCAATACATACAACTTTTGAAGCACGCTTGAATGGAGAGATAGTAGTGGCAAGCCCACGACGGAAGATTAATGACATGCTGAAAAGTTGTATGCCAAAAATGCAACTTCCAAACTGTCTATGAGCAAAACCAATAAGGATATTTTTGTATGACGATTGTTCTATATAAGCTATTCTCACACCAAAGTATTGATAGAGCCGCAACTGATGTCCTTTCGAACCCAACAATGATAAATCCTGCTCGTTGGATTTATATGGGCCGACCCATAATTCGACCACAAGACCTACCTAGTTGGACCCCGCAGTGGACCCAGGGTTTATGCAATGACCTCAAGTTACTCAACTCCAACAGCTCCGCAGTCAGTGTTGTGACATAGGATTCAGGCACCAAATTCTTCAACACCCATGCCATGGAGCTTTGAATACCCGTACGATTAAACATTATATTTGAAATTGAACTCGTACATCAAAAGTAACTCCCTGCAGGTAAATTTCCAGGCCTTCCACCAGATCTTTCCCCCTCCTTCAATCTCCTCTCCGCCTGCTCGGTCAGAGCTTGATCAACCCTCTCTTGTGATAAATGCAACCCTCTCATACTCTTTTCCTGCAGCTTGTCTCGATTGTGGTAATAACCCAGTACCATCTTCGCGCGCACAAATTCGGCATCTTGCTGTAATATGGTCCGTTAGCTATATCCAGGACGGATGGAATAACACCTAGAATGTACCCCGCTACTTTGGCTTCTGAGAAGAAGAAGTTCTCGGCTAATCTTCTTGGACTCCTCGGTTTCTGGGAGATCAATTGAGGTCATCGATGAGTGTGTCCTCAAGATAGGAGGCGTAGAGGGTGATTCGAAGGACAATTGGCGACCAGAGCAAGATCTTGAGTGTGGTGATATACGGCGGCCGAGGCGATCGAATTTTTGCGGTGGCTGTGGATGAATGGAGGTGTTGCTCTCGTGATTATTGTTTGAAATGGCGGAGAGGGTACGTAAGAAGGAGAGGGCGGCTTGGGGGGACTAAGGGTGAGAGGAGTTAATATCGCAGGTGGTGCTCCATGCGGAGATCTGAAGTGCCATGCGAGAAAAGAAAGCAAGACATTGGCGTGCAGATGTGGGGTATGTAAGATGGGGGAGGGGGAGGGGGAGGGGGAGGGGAGAGAGAGATGGAGTTTGGGAGACGAACTGTTTGCTTGAGGGCATTTAGATCAGCGAGAACTTGAGCCGTCTGTAGTTTCGACGGTGGTGGGAGTGATGATGGATTCATGTGAAATATGAAATCAATTGCAATGATATGATATCGATATAATAGTTGAACTCCCCTTTTGGAGGCAATTTACTGCTGCTGTCAGGTGCCATCGGTCGTCAAAGTCAGAAGTTTGAACCCCGCCTCGATGAAAACCTATGACTAATAATAATACCGGATAAGTAAGGAGTACGCGAACTAATAGCTAGCGTAGAGCTAGCGTAGAGCTAGCTCCCCCGCCTTTACATTACAGAGCACGCTTGGCGGTTGTTTTCTTTTTTTCTTTTTCATCATCACTATATTAATTTACTTAAACGAGATCTCTTGATTGGTCCCGCGCGACATTAAACTCTCGATCCGTACTGTAATTCTTATTCTTTGTTGCTTGGTTGGTGGGAATTGTCAATAATAGATCAAAAAGCGGGGCCAGGAAAACTTTGGTTCCAACCATTTGGGCACACAAAATTAAAGACCCACCTCAGATATAAAGATTCAA